CACAGATACAACAACAACAACAACCCAGTATAATCCCACTAGTGGGGTCTGAGGAGGGTAGTGTGTACGCCGACCTTACACCTACCCTGAGGTAGAGAGGCTGTTTCCGATAGACCCTCGGCTCCCTCCCTCCAAGAACTCTCCACCTTGCTCATGGGATGACTCGAACTCACAACCTCTTGGTTGGAGGTGGAGGGTGCTTACCACTAGAGCAACCCACTCTTGTCTGAACACAGATAGCGGCATCAAATTGATGCTCGCCCCATGATCACACAAAGCTCGCTCGACTGTGTGCTTACCAATCGAGATTTGGATAGTGAAACTACCAGGATCCTTCAATTTCTAAGCTAGCATGCTTTGAATTCTTGAGCTACATTCTTCAGTGAGTGCCACAGTCTCAAACTCTATTAACCTCCTCTTATTCGCCACAATATCCTTGATGTATTTGGCATCTTTGGGCACTTCTTGCAAGATGTCTACCAGCGGAATATTAATTTGTACCTGCTTCAAAATATTAAGAAACTTTTTATAAGCGACATTATCCTTCACTTTGTGCAATCTTCGAGGGAACGGAGGTGGTGGCTTTGCAACTAATGGTGGGGGTTGCTTAGCCACCGCCTCTTCAACTGGCTTTTCTGACTCCTTTGCTTTTTCTGATTCTGTTTCTATGGTGGCCGGTTTCTTAGTAAAGGTCACTTGCTTTCTCTTTTTCGGTGGGACTTCTTCTAACTGTCTCCCATTCCTCAATGACAGAACATTAATAGATGCCTTAGGATTAGCCTCAGCATCGCTTGGATGAGCTCCAACTGATCGAGTATTTTGGGTACTGGCAAGTTGCCCCACTTGTCTCTCCAAATTTCGAATCGCTGTAGCATAGGCTGCTGCCTGAGCCTGCCGATCAGCCACTAATTGCTTTAGTATCTCCTCAATAAAACTCATCGGGTTTGTAGGTTATTCAACCTGATGTGGTCTATATTGCCGTTGAGGAGCTTGTGGCCTGTACTGATTCTGAGCACCTTGGTATCCACCCCAAGAGAAGTTTGGGTGGTTCCTCCAGCTAGGATTGTTAGTATTTCCATACTGTTTTGTCTGGAACTTATTTGCATTACCCACAAAACAGACAAACTTTGAATTAACTGGGCATAAGTCGCTCGTGTGACCCTCTTCACATACTTCACAAAATATTTAAACTTGTTGTACTGGCTGAGCTTGTTGCTTGTTAATAACCAAGGTCATCTTATTGACTTGGTTGGCCAATGTGTCAACCTACACTAATAATGCATAGACAACATTTAACTCGAGAACCCCCATAAATATTTGCACTGTATGTCTGCCCATATCTCCTTGCCAATCAGGATTGCTTTTGGAGAATTTGTTCAATAATGCATATATCTCATCAAAGCGTTTCTCCAACACTTGACCTTCCGCTGCAACATCCACCACAATCTTTATCTCAGGTTGTAGCCCTTCTATGAAAGTGTGAGCTAACACTTCATTTGTCTGATTGTGATGATGACAGTCTCTGATTATCCCCTTGAACCTTCCCAAGCTGAGTATAAAGACTCCCCCGATTTCTGTTTAAAGGTGACTATCTCACTTCTAATCTTTGCTGTTTTTCTTAAAGGAAAGAACCTTACCAAAAATTTCCTCCCCAAATCATTCCATGATGTTATAGAATTAGCTGGTTTCGCCTTCAACCACCGCTTTGCTTCACCCGACAGAGAAAATGGGAACAATGTGAGCCTCAAATAGTCTGGAGTGACTCCGTTAGTGATATAAGTATCACTAATCTCCAGGAATTTCAGGATATGCTATTGTGGATCCTCGTGTGGAAGACCCATAAACTTCCCATTCGCATGTAGTAGCTGGATTATGCTTTATTTTAGCTCAAAGTGCCCATTCGCATGTAGTATCTTGATAAGTTAGTCATGCCATCCTTTTGTTTTCTCTTTGTAGAGCTTAGAATTTTCATAATCGTGCAGCCCGAACTCATCTAACTCATTCAACTGCAAGATCCTCTTCTCGCTCGCGGCTTCAAAGTCCATATTCAACCTTTTTATTTCCCAATACGCCTTGTGTTCAAGTTCGACAGGAAAATGACATGCCTTCCCATAAACAAGGTTATACGGCGACACCCCAATTGGTGTTTTGTATGCAGTTCTATATGCCTAAAAGGCATCATCTAACTTTGCAGCCCAATCCTTCCTATTCACACTCATTGTATTCTCTAATATTTGCTTTATTTCTCTATTTGACACCTCAGCTTGTCCACTTGTTTGCGGATGATATGCTGTGGTAACTCTATAGCGGACCCCATATTTAGCTAGAAGGTTATTCAACAACAGATTACAAAAATGTGTCCCTTCATCACTAATCAAGGCGAGTGGAGTCCCAAACCTCGAGAATATGTTCTTCTTCACAAAAGTAGCTACCGCCTTGGAATCATTGGTTCGCAATGCGATCGCCTCTACCCATTTTGACACGTAGTCAACTGCTAGCAAGATATATTTGTTCCTCTGGACAATGGGAACGATCCCATAAAGTCTATCCCCCACACATCAAAAATCTCTACCTCCAGGATGTTATTCAAAGGCATCTCATGCCTCTTAGTGATTGTCCCTGTTCTTCGACACTGGTCACACTTCTTCACAAATGCATGGGTATCCTTGAACAATGTTGGCCAAAAGAACCCAAATTGTAACACCTTTGCAGCTGTCCTATCGCCTCCATGATGGACCCCATAAGATGAGGCATGGCAATCATACAACACTAATTCCACCTTTTTTTTTCTGGAATACACCTCCTCATTAACTGATCAACATACTGTTTGTACAAGAATGACTCATCTCAGTAGTAGAAGTTTACATCATGTAGAAACCTCTTTCTAGCTTCAAATTCAATTTCAGGAGGAAGTACCCCACTCACAAGATAATTCACATAGTCCGCGTACCATGAGAGAGGGTCTTGGGTAATAGCAAAAAGTTTCTCATCAGGAAATGCCTCCTTCATTTGTCCACCTTCCTCGACGTGCTCATGATTTTCCAGCCTTGATAGATGGTCGGCTACTTGGTTTTCTGTGCCCTTCCGATCTCGTATTTCTACATCAAATTCCTACAACAATAAAACCCAGCGCATCAATCTAGCCTTGGGTTGTTTTTTGTAAATAGATACCCGATTCTTGCATGATCGGTATGGACTATGACTTTTGTTCCCACCAAGTATGTCCAAAGTTTCTCAAAGGCCTACACAATGGCCAACAACTCCTTTTCAGTGGTGGTGTAATTCAGCAGTGCATCATTAAGAGTCTTACTCGCATAGTAACTGGAGTAAAACATTTTTTCCTTCCTATGGCCTAACACTGCCCCAATAGCATGGTCACTTACATCGCACATAATTTCAAATGGTAAGGACCAATCTGGTGCTACAATAATAGGGGCAACCACCAACTTTTTTTTGAGCTCCTCGAATGCCTTCAGACAGGCTTCATCAAAATTGAAGGTTACATCTTTTTCAAGCAACCTGCACAAAGGAAGATTAATTTTTGCAAAATCCTTAATAAAGCATCTATAGAACCCCGCGTGTCGCAAGAAACTTCGGACACCCTTCACTGCCACGTGTGGAGGTAATTTTTCAACCGCCTCCACCTTCGCTTTATCAACTTCAATGTCACTCCTTGACACTCTATGGCCCAACACGATGCCTTCTTGTACCATAAAATAACACTTTTCCCAATTTAGTACTAGATTTATTTCTTCACAACGAGCCAACACCTTGCTCAAATTCTTCAAACAATCATCATAAGAAGACCCATAGACTGAAAAATCATCCATGAAGACTTCTACAAATATTTCCATCATATCCGTGAAAATAACCATCATACACGTCTGGAAATTGGCCGGCACATTACAAAGTCCAAACGGCATTCACTTGAAAGCAAAAGTACCATAAGGACAAGTAAAAGTGGTCTTCTCCTGATCCACTGGGCATATGACAATCTGGTTGTACCCCGAATAACCATCAAGGAAGCAATAATATTCATGCCCCGCCAATCTGTCCAACATTTGGTCAATGAATGAAAGTGGAAAGTGGTCCTTGCGGGTTGCTTTGTTAAGCCTTCTGTAATCAATGCAAACTCTCCACCCCGTCACGGCATGAGTAGGAATTAACTCATTTTTTCATTCTTTACAATAGTCATCCCCTCCTTTTAGGCACACATTGCACTGGGCTTACCCAGTTGCTGTCAGAGATAAGGAAGATGATACCTGCATCAAGCCACTTAATTACTTCTTTTTTCATGACCTCTTTCATAATGGGATTTAATATCCTTTGTTGCTCAACACTGGGATGGTGTTCATCTTCTAGAAAGATTTTATGCATGGAAAATGATGGACTGATTCTTTTGATGTCAGCAATTGTCCACCCAATAGCCTTTTTATGCTCACGAAGCACTATGAGCAATTTTTCTTCCTGCACATCGGTCAAGCTGGATGAGATAATCACTGGAAATGTCTCAGAGTTCCCAAATAAGCATAGAGCAGATGCGCTGGAAGGGGCTTAAGCTCTAGCTTTAGATCTTCTTCAATAAATGGCTTAGGAGGGGTCAGAGTTGGCTGGCAATCTGAGTGATTTATACATATTGAATACCTCCAGCCGATCACCCACTCTCATCATCATCTTTCTTTCGCACACATCAATAATAGCTCGGATCGTGGCTAAGAATGGATGCCCCATAATAAATGGGACTTCCTGATCAAGCTCATAGTCTAAGATAATGAAATCAACAGGGAATATAAAAGAACCCACTTGAACTAATACATCTCCAATCACTCTTTCAGGATGAGCAAGGGAGCGATCATCCAACTGTAAAATCGCCATGGTTGGGCGCGACTCATGCAAACCTAACTGTCTGAACACAGATAGCGGCATCAAATTGATGCTCGCTCAACTGCGTGCTTACCAATCGAGATTTGGATAGTGAAACCACTAGGATCCTACAATTTCTAAGCTAGCATGCTTTGAATTCTTGAGCTACATTCTTCAGTGAGTGCCACAGTCTCAAACTCTATTAACCTCCTCTTATTCGCCACAATATCCTTGATGTATTTGGCATCTTTGGGCACTTCTTGCAAGATGTCTACCAGCGGAATATTAATTTGTACCTGCTTCAAAATATTAAGAAACTTTTTATAAGCGACATTATCCTTCACTTTGTGCAATCTTCGAGGGAACGGAGGTGGTGGCTTTGCAACTAATGGTGGGGGTTGCTTAGCCACCGCCTCTTCAACTGGCTTTTCTGACTCCTTTGCTTTTTCTGATTCTGTTTCTATGGTGGCCGGTTTCTTAGTAAAGGTCACTTGCTTTCTCTTTTTCGGTGGGACTTCTTCTAACTGTCTCCCATTCCTCAATGACAGAACATTAATAGATGCCTTAGGATTAGCCTCAGCATCGCTTGGATGAGCTCCAACTGATCGAGTATTTTGGGTACTGGCAAGTTGCCCCACTTGTCTCTCCAAATTTCGAATCGCTGTAGCATGGGCTGCTGCCTGAGCCTGCCGATCAGCCACTAATTGCTTTAGAATCTCCTCAATGTGACTCGTCGGGTTTGTAGGTTATTCAATTTGAGGTGGTCTATATTTCCATTGAAGAGCTTGTGGCCTGTACTGATTCTGAGCACCTTGGTTTCCACCCCAAGAGAAGTTTGGGTGGTTCCTCGAGTTAGGATTGTTAGTATTTCCATACTGATTTGTCTGGACCTTATTTGCATTACCCACAAAATAGACAGACTCTGAATTAACTGGGCATAAGTCGCTCGTGTGACCCTCTCCACATACTTCACAAAATATTTGAACTTGTTGTACTGGCTGAGCTTGTTGCTTGTTAATAACCAAGGTCATCTTATTGACTTGGTTGGCTAATGTGGCAACCTGCGCTAATAATGCGGAGACGACATTTAACTCGAGAACCCCCACAGATTCTTGCACTGTATGTCTTCCCATCTCTCCTTGCCAGTCAGGATTGCTTTTGGAGAATTTGTTCAATAATGCATATATCTCATCGAAGTTTTTCTCCAACACTTGACCTCCCACTGCAGCATCCACCACAATATTTGTCTCAGGTTGTAGCCCTTCTATGAAAGTGTGAGCTAACACTTCATTTGTATGATTGTGATGAGGACAGTCTCTTAGCATCCCCTTGAACCTCCCCAAGCTGAGTATAAAAACTCCCCCGATTTCTGTTTGAAGGCGACTATCTCACTTCTGATCTTTGCAGTTTTTCCTAACGGAAAGAACTTGCCAAAAATTACCTCGCCAGATCATTCCATGATGTTATAGAATTAGCTGGTTTCGCCTTCAACCACCGCTTTTCTTCGCCTGACATAGAAAATGGGAACAGTGTGAGCCTCATATAGTCTGGAGTGACTCCGTTAGTGATATAAGTATCACTAATCTCCAAGAAATTTAGGATAAGCTGTTGTGGATCCTCGTATGGAAGACCCATAAACTGACCATTCGCAGTAGCTGGATCATGCTATGTTTCAGCTCAAAGTGCCCAGTAATTCTGGGCTTCACAATGCTGGAGGTGACATTAGCAATGCTAGGCATCGCCACCTCCTGAACAGACATATGTTGCTCCTCTGCCATGTCCACAGAAAATTGAACAAGTGCTTGAAGATTATATGTGTCCCTTGCTTCCCTCTGCCTCCTGTGAAATGTTCTCTCAGGTTCGGGGTCAAAGCCTTGAAGTCTATCCTGGCTTCTGACCCTTCGCATTCAATCAAAGTTCCTAAGAGTAGAGCAATCAATAAGAAACGTTAGACATGACAAAATAAACAACTAAAGTAAAAACTAGAAAGTAGTCAATATTCAAGTCCTCAGCAACGGCGCCAAAAACTTGTTGCTCCCAAATACACACGCAAGTATACATGGTCGTATAGGTAATAAAATGATAAGTTGAGTGTCGAACCCACATAGACTTGTGTTAACTACCCACTAGTTTCACAAAAATTATTATTTAGTCAAATCAATCAGAGTTCAAAAGTGTGATTATACTAAGCAGTAATTCTAACAAGTAACTAATTTATCAAGCAGCAAAATAGTTATTGTTTATTCAGTAAAGACGAATATTCCAGGGTTGTGATCAATTCACCAATCCTATTGTGCTCTAATTAACTCCCTCTTTCGTACAATTCACTCATGGTTGCTAATTAATCGAACAATTGCTCTCGTAGTATTCTCCCAAATTCCTACTCGCCTATTCAAAATAGATTAACGCCTATATTTCTATGGAATCAATCTATTAAAAAACGCATTAAGATTATGATATTTAATTAAGAACGGTGACTAGATATATTCTTATCCTAACTATAAATCCGACCCCCACTCAGAGTTAAGATCATGCTCTCTTCAATTCTTCTCTAATCTTGATGTAGCTCTCCCAAGCGGCATAACATAGATAGTAAATAGAACCTAACTGTTGGCCAGACAATTAAGCAATTAATCACAGAACTGAAGAAACAACTATATATTAGTGAATTGTAATCAAAGTTAAGTCTACTTTAAACAACAATATTTATGGCTAAATGACAACCCCAGAACTATGGGTTTTAGCCACTCAAGATAATATCAAAAAAAATTCACAAGTGTTGAATAATTGAGAATACTAAGAAAAGATGAAGAAAACTGAGATATCCTCGCTTCCGGATGTTCCTCGGTGTATTTTTCCTTCAAAGTGGCGTTTCCCTCCCAAAATAGGCTTAGTCTTGCTTTTATACGCGTTGGGTAGGTCTTGGGCCGAAATAACCTTGTCCTGGGCGAAGTAGGAGAGATTTTCCATTACCAGCGCCCATGGTAGCATGGGGCGCTAGCTAATTTTCGATTCTGTAAAGTGCGCCACAGGTAGCGCCCCGCTACCTGTGGCTCTACAAATGGCCATTTTCCAAATTTTCTCCTTTTTGGCTCTAATCTCACACCTTTCGCCCCATATTGGCGTCGGATGATTTTTACACATAAAAACATCACGAATTAGCATAAATCATTACATTTCACATCCGAAATCTACCACGAAACTCGAGTAAAATGCAAAGCGATATACATATAAATATATATACTTTAAGCTAAATATCATTACTCAAATAAAATACAAAGTTATTTAACAAGATCATTAATAGGATGATGACCTCAATCAGAAGTTTCCTGTATTAATCAAACACAACATAAAAGCAAATATTTGACCTCTCCTATGTCTTATTATTCGATGGATTATTTATCAGAAGATGATTTATTTTTGGAAATTTCTCGTTCGTCTTTATCGTATTCGAATTGCTTTGCCACTTGCTGGCATATTCGTCCATAAACGTCCATGCAAAATAGCTAACACAAAAAAAGAAAATCTCTCTTTTGGTATTTGATTATTTTCCAAGTTATAATTGACATAGAATAATGCCGTATTATAAATGAGTACTGACACTATATGATGGAATTGAACTAATTATAAAACTTAGAACGTTTAACCTGTGGCACAAAAAGTGTTGGTAATTAAGAAACTATATTGAAAAAGAGGAGTAATTGGAGCTCTCAGCAAATATGCCTATTCTAGGAAATATGTGATGATGTGACCTAAACAAGTTTATAATACGTAAGGTTAGGTTGTAAAGAATGAGTAACTAGATAATATTCTCAACAGAATTTAAGTTACTGACAGTGTAAAATTTACACAATTAGATAACTTATAAGGTAATTACACATAAATCTCTATAATATATAGTCATTGCTTGTAACTAGTCATACTAGCTATTACAAGTTAAACTACACTGACACTGTCATCAATTCATCGTGTACATTACATAAGCATGATATTAAGTTCTTTCAATCTTCAGCTGCAGAATAATCTTCTCTAATTCCTCTGGTGGACAAGGGATTTCAAGAACACCCTTCTGTCTGAATCCATATTCTTCTTCAGCCAGCTTTAATAATCTCAAGAATGCTGGATCTTTTAGCCAATTCAACTCTAAAATAAACCTTTTTCTTGTCTCCTCACTACCTGTGTTTACTGCAAAAACAGCAAAGTGTCCTTCCTTTACATCATCTGGTACTACTTCTTCATTGTTTACTCTTGGAAATTTTACAAATTCAACTCCATTTTCGCGACGGGGCGAAAATTGAAGATGACTCTTGATGATATTCTTGATCAGCCTCTTGATTAAAAGCTTAAGTGTTATCAAGCCTTTGCTTCTAATTTCTTCTCCAATTATCTTGAACATTTTTCAAAATGAACTCAGGAAATTCTTTTGATAACTAAGTAAGTGAGACAAGGTTTGGAGATAGGATTATTTTTTGCCTTTGGTAGAATTAAGTTAGAGGAAGATGGGATTTTATAATCAGTCAATGTAGGAGAAGAAAGGAGCAAATGAAGTTTCTAAGACTGTTTCAATATGGGTCCATTTACATATAGTTGCCATATGCTTATGTATTTGAAACATTTTGATGGGTCTTTTTCCTGCTTTTGCCAATTATTAATATATGTTATGGCAATGTCTATACTAGCTAGTGGGAAAAAAGGTGCATGTACTTAATTTGTTGAATATCTTCTGGTTATGTAGTGTCAACATCAAGATCAATGCAATTTAAGTATAATGTTTGAACATGTTTTAACAACAATAAAACACATACCCGGTGTGATCCCATAGTGGAGTTTGAGGAGGGCGAGGAGAACACAGACCTTACCCCTGCCTTGTGTAAGGCAGAGAAGCTGCTTCTGATAGAACCTCTGCTCAAGAAAAATATTTTCAAAACAGGTTTGATTGTTTGAACATGTTTTAAGAACAATTTTAATTTAAATTCAAACATTACAAGTTTGATTACCTCTGAAATTTTAATTTAAATTCGGAATCCGCTTCAAAGTCATGGTTGAAGTGAATATACAAGGTTGAATAGTGATTTTTTAAAATAAGTGAACTTGAACTTTCGTATATGATAAGCAATTCTTATCATCATGAAATCTTTAAAGCGATAAGTATATATACGTTTATGTTTGCCACTTGCTAAGCCGTGGGCCAGATGGAAAAAGAAGTTGAAAAGGATGATTATTGAATTATATAAATAGAAAGATTAATGAATATTAAAGATGAAGTCTCGATTTGAAATGGGGCATGCATATATGATATATGTTTTGTATGTTAATCGAAGTTAAGGTTCCTTTGCAAGTTATAAGCACTAAAAATTAATTTTAGTCCTAATCATATCGTGAAACTTGTGCAAGACAGTTAAAAATATGCTCCGTTGCTAATCCTGCATTGATAGAATTACAGTGTAAGTATATTTTAGATCAATAACAAAACTAAAACTGCTTCAGCTCATATAAGTCAACCAGTTGACTACTTCATCTAAACTTGTTTTTTATATTAGGTTCTATATAAATCAAATATTAAATTTTTAAGGGAAATTATTAATTATAAGCGAATATTTTTTTTTTCCAGGTAACTCATTTATAATAATTGAAGCCAACTCAGCAGTCATAACCAATTATCATTTCACCCAATTCTGTTGCAGCGTGCAATCCGCTCTCCCAATATTTTCCTTTTAATCAAATCTGCCATATATTTATTTCAATCAAGTATATATATAGACTTTTAAATAAGTCTGTTGCGGCGTGCAATCCGATCCCCCAATATTAACTTTTTAATAAATTTATTACGGCGTGCAACCCGATCCTCCAATATATTCATTTTAATCAATTCTGTTGCGGCGTGCAACCCGCTCCTCCTATATTTTCATTTACCAATTCTTATAGAAGGAATTTCCCCAATAAATGCAGCAATTAGTATGAAATTATAAGACAACAAGCATACAATAATTATGATTTAACTATGAAACAAACAATGTCAAATAACAAATCATTATAGAAATTAGGGAAAAAATAGGCAGTTTAATATTTAATATGCTAAATGTCAAATAACAATTAAGACACATAATTCAAGTAGCATGTAATAATTAATGAAGGAATTCAAGAATTAATATTTGACAAAGAATAAGAGAGAAATAATTATTATAATAATTAATTTATGATCTAAAATAATTTATGATTTTTCAAGTAAGCAGGCAAACAATTAATTTGACGACGTATAGACACTCGTCACCTCGCCTATACGTCGTTCACATGCAATTCACATAACAATTAAATTAAGGGTTCTATTCCCTCAAGTCAAGGTTAACCACGACACTTACCTCGCTTTGCAAATTTTCAACCAATTACTCAACCACAGCTTTTTCTTTTAAATTTGACTTTGAAAGCTTCAAATCTATTCTCAAACAATTCGATATATTCAATACTAATCATAGAAATTAATTTCATATGAATTTATAAATTTTTCGGATAAAAATTCAAAATTTATTAAAATATTCGACAGTAGGACCCACGTCTCAAATCTCGGAAAAACTTTTGAAATCCAAACACCCATTCCGAGACGAGTCCAACCATACAAAAATTATCCAATTCCGATGTCAAATGGACCTTCAAATCTTAAATTTTCGTTTTTGGAAGATTTTATAAAAATCTGATTTTTCTTCCATAAATTCACGGATTCATGATATAAATGAGTATGAAATCATGAAATATAATCAATATAGGATAAGGAACACTTACTCCAATGTTTTCCCGTGAAAATCCCCCAAAATTTGCCTTACCAGAGCTTAAAAATGGAAAAGGGTTGAACATGGGACGAATCCCATTTTCCAGAACTTAAGTTCTGTTTCTAGGGCTTTTACACTTCGCG